CAGCCCGCGCCCCGCGCCGAGTCCGCCGGCCCGGACCCCGCCGCTGCCGACCCGCCCTCCGAGCCATCGGTTGATCGTATTTGTTTGCTGTTTTCTGACGTGACTTCACTGAAAAGCTTTGACTCTCTTACAGGCTGTGGAGATATTATTGCAGACCAAGAAGAGGAAGCAGGGCCCAGCGGTGACAAGAGCGCCCCTGGAGCAGGCAAGCCAGCAGCCCCCCAAAAGAGCGCCGGCATGCTGGCCTACCAAGGAGGCGGGGAGGAGATGGCCAGCCCCGACGAGGTGGACACCACCTATCTGCAGGAGTTCTGGGACATGCTGTCCCAGACGGAGGAGCCCGGCCAGGCCCCCCAGGAGGGGGCGGGGAAGGCCGCGGCGGTGCTGGACCCCAAGGGCCTCCCCGAGGTGCACAAGGAAGCCAGGCGCGCCGAGGCCAAGAGCGTGGCCCTGGTCAAGCGCAGGAGGCTTCACCGGATCCCCGTGGAGGCCCAGCAGAAGGAGGAGCCCAAGCCCCCAGAGAAGGAGCAGCAGGAAGGGGTCCCTAACAGTGACGAGGGCTACTGGGACTCGACCACGCCTGGGCCTGAAGAAGACGGCCCGGGCAGCGGGAAGAAGGCCGGGCTGCCCCGGGATAGCTACAGCGGGGATGCGCTCTATGACCTGGACGCCGAGCCCGACGAGAGCCCCACGCTGGGCCCCCCCGCCAGCAGCAGCGACACGGCCTGCTTGTCCCGGTTAAAGCCGGTGTCTCCGGTCACCATCACCTGCCCCTTGCGAACACCAGGCAGTTTGCTGAAGGATTCTAAAATCCCCATCAGCATCAAGCACCTCTCGAACCTTCCCCCCAGTCACCCTGTCGTGCACCAGCAGCCGACCCGGAGCGAGATGCCCAGAACGAAAATCCCCGTGTCCAAAGTGCTGGTCCGGAGGGTCAGCAACCGGGCCTTGGCCGGGACCACCATGCGGGCCGCCGCGTGCCACGACGGTGCCAAAAAGTTGTGAGCACTCGGAAGCCATGAGGGACCCCAGGGCGAGGAGTACAAAATTTCCACCGGAATTCACACAAATCGGTTTCTCTTCCCCGCAAGAAGGGCGTCAGGCCCGCCTCTGGGCCACAGCCTGGGCGAGGCAGGTCAGTGGGCCCCTGGGCCTTGCAGGACGCTGCCAACAGGCCTGCTCTAAGATAAGTTCCCCCACGACCATTTCCAAGCACTTTCTTTTTCCCTTTTAATCTTTTGTTGTTGTTCTTATGGTTTTGTTTTTAATGCACTGAACACTCAGAAGTCACCTTTACTTGCCTTTGGAGAAAACACGACTTACTGAAACATACCTAAGGGTCAAGCCCCAGGTGGTGGGGCTGTGCTGAGGGGCCAGAAAGCTGGAGGACTTGGACCTGGTGACCAGAGGAGTCCCCTATTCCATGACACTTCCTTCCTTCTTTTCCCATCTAGGAAAAAGACCCTGTGCTGTTATCACTGTGGAAATCACCTGCCCAGCTGACAGGACCATTGGCTTTTACCTGAGCAGCGGAGGGTGACAGCAATGGGCAGCAAACTGTCACTTGCAGTGGCTAGGTATAAAACCAGGGAGGCATCTACCACTGGCAAAATAAAAGACAGCCCTGGTTTGGTTGGGTTTAATCATTTGTTTGTGGGGGGAGAAATAAAAAGCTTAGCAGAGAAGGATGTGTGCGTGTGCACGTGTGTGTGTGTGTGCTCACCCAGTGCAGAAAGCAAGATCAGGGAAATATGTCATTAAATGCCAAGAGCCATGGGATTTTAGCATTTATAAACAATCTTTTCATGTCTGGGTTCAATAGTTATTTCGCAGTTTATCCATCACTTCCCATTTGCTAGTCTGAAGGTAACCTAAGGTTTGAAAGTCAGGTTTTATGGCTAGAAATGCAAAGCATTGATAGTCTTCAGCTGTACTGGCATCTGTAGCCAATCTGGTTTTTGTTTGTGATGGGTCTTCAGGCTCTCAAAGCAGAACAACAACAACAAAATCTATTGTGTTGATGCCACCGAAGATTGATTTTGCCTTGTCTTGGCTAAAAGAAGTCTGTTTTATACTCCAAATCTCAATTTTCAGAGCTTTTACATTGGTTGTCAAATTGTGGTAACTGTTCTTCAGTGCAAGGATTCTGAAAGAGGAGTATATGAAGTTAAAGCAAGGGGCGAGGGTGGGTGGAATAGACCTTTCCATAACATTTGGTTTATGCTTCATGAACATCTGAGTAAGACATGTATGTTCAGGATCTGACATGGGCTAGCATGTGTGTCCCTAATATTTTATGCCAGGGTATTTGAAAAGTGATTCTCGTCTCTTGTTTGTTTTTTCAGAGAAAACATTTCTATCCGAGTCACTCCATGCCCAGATAGTTTGAGTGATAAACTGAAGCCATTCCTAGAATGCTTTTAAGAGTCTACTGATTAAATTAACATCCTCTTTGAAATGGAGTTTGGTGTATTGAATCATAAAGACCAGAGCGCTCTCTGCTCGGAGGTGATTCATTTTATCAAGATGATGAGACCCACTCAAGCAAAGCCACACAGCTCTGAATGGCATATGCACTTCTGTATAACTTTCATTTTGGGTGTGGGGGCTACTTAAACGATGAACTGATAATACATGCTTTTTAAGGTTCTTTTCTGCTTCCTAAAGGAAAGAAGAAAGCAAGTTAAAATTTTGGTACTCTACTATGATATTATGAAGGATAGTAAGATAAAGAGAGACATCAAGGGAAAATCCATTTGAGGCAGGTGGTTCCTCATTTTACATCTTGTAGTCGTTGAACTAGAAGGGTAAGAGGTTTGCTGAATGTCTTTGCTCCTTCTCAATTAGTCAGGTTATGGGCTTTTGATTGCACTGTGTCAGAGCCTTAATGTGATTTCAAAGTGATGCTTTAATATTTCATTTCCCTCCATGTCCACAGATGAGGCCCTACGTGCAGGCGTATCCTGAAACAGTCTACATACCCCACCATAGAAGTAAGGCACATTCCCACGTGCTCATGTGCTCACTGAGCCATGCATAAACTAACAGACAAAAGACGTCCACTGTAGATTTGGAAATGCTGTAGAGATGATTTCTGTCTTGAGCAAGGGAATTAAATTTGATGTAATGCTGATTGTATTATTTAGACGCCACAAGCGTTCATTTCCTCTTTCATGAATGGCGAGAACATCAATTTTATTACCAGCTATAAAACAAAGGATCTTAATTTGCATATTTGCAAGGATTATTGTCCCCTTTGCATGAATCATGGCAGAGATGTATTTTGTTGCACAAGAAACTTGAGTGGTTCAAAAAAACTGATGAGAATCTTGGCGGTAGTAAAGGGAGTCTCTTTTGTAAGTGCTAGAAGAAGAGACTGGTTTGGCTTCCATGACTTTAGGAATTATTTCTGCATTTCCATTACTGTACTGTCCTCTTGAGTTTAAGGAAAATGTTGACAAAGTTCTACCTTTGTTTCCCCTCTCCTGTGACGGGACTAGTTATATAAGATTGGAAGTATTTTGTTTTGTTTTAATTATTTATTTATTTTTTTACTTCTTTGTATTTTCTGTGTGTTTTCACTAGATATATGGGGGGGGGGGCGGAAATCCACCCACACCAATCAAATTCAGTCAGTAAATTTAATGGCCCCAGTATCTTGTAAAGTGTTGCAGTGGCAGGAAGAATGGCTGGTCAACCTTTCCCAAACTTAGAAAAGGGATCATTGGACAAGTCGTTTTCTTGTATCAAGGGCTACTTACTCTCATTTGATGCTCATGGAGGTGATTTTTCAGGATTTTAATAAATTTGCTTCCCAAATTTTTATGAATGCACTCTTAATTCTTTTGTAAGAATTAGACAGGCCTTTGTGTTTGCTGATGTATTCTCTTCAGAACTGAATATGGGTTGAGGCTACCTTTTGTTCCTATGATTCTGATAACTTGATGAAGGAAGTTGTTTTGGCCAAAGAACTGACAAAATTGGAAGGAAAAGATGGAGTCAATTATTGACTAGCAAATACTCCTCTCAGCTAGTTTAGCAGCTTTGTATGAAGGCAGCCTGCCTTTGATATGTATGTTACATGTATAATATAATAAAAAAGCACTCTAAGTTGATACTTTTATTTTTCCATTAGCATCAACTTGGAGACTTTGGGCCACAACATTTTAAAGAATCACAACAGGTAATTAATTTTTATCATTTCATCTAATGACAACAGTGGCTCATAGGATATTAAAGGGCTTCCTTTCCATACTTACTTTTTCCTCACATTTTCTGCCTATTTAAGAAACAACAGCTTTAACACCTAATGAAGACGATGACTTACTGAGCTTAAAGGATTTATTCATCAATCTCAGAAGTAATAGCCAAGGATTTGCATTGAAATGAATATGCAAATTCCCCTTGGCTTGCACAGTTCTCAAGGTAAAAACAGAACTAGAGATCCAGACTTCCTTATCTCTGCTTTCTAAGAGTTTCCACGACTTAAATCTTTGTTTAGATTCTTTTTGGAAGTTGAGGCTGTGAGGAGATTAATGTGTGTGGCTTTTTCTTCCATCTTTTTGCTTCCATCTGATGCTTGGCATCCCAGACATCAGTTAAGGCCCACTTGACCATGTTTGTGGTAGGACCCCTGTCTATCAAGCGGGATAACTGCTATCAGGTGCTAAGTTTCTCTCTTGAATCAGGATTTGCCTCCCTTGTACTTGCTTCCTGCTGAGTTGTACGCCTGTGTGCTCAGGTAAACTTGGCTCCCGTTGTCCTTGTTAAATTATTTCAGAAAATGTTCTTTCTCTTAAAAAAATTGGATTTTTTAAAAAAAAGTTTATTTACCTGTGTTTCCTACAATTCTTCTCATACAAGAAAATGTTATTCTCTTAACCATGAGAAAAAAGCAACATGATTAATCCCCTATAACCATTGAAAAGAGCTCTTTTAAAAGAACCCAATAGAATAAGAGGTGAAACCCAAATACTTAGGCCAACTCCATTTCCCCTTCTCTTGATAGAGAAGGAATGGGCAACATTTTTTATTTGGGGATACTTACCTTAGACGTTTGCACTGCATTGCACAGCTGCATTTATACAAGAGTCTGAGACCGAGGGGCTGGGACAGCCGACTGGTCTGCTTTAGAGCCTAGAAGGTTAGCATTTACTGCTTGAAAAGAAAGGAGCTACAACCTTGTCAGTGCGACATGCAAGTGTGAGTCCACTCAAAGCAGCCACTGACATAGTGGCCCTGTCCTGCACTGAGGAGTTCCTGATGGCTGTCGGGGTGCTTCGCAAAACCTTTTCACTGTGACCATGGTCTAAAGGAGACAGTGTGTTGCAACAATAGCCACTTATAAAGGTTGCTGTTCTCTCACTGCATTGCTGCTTTTATGGGATGATTCGGAACAATAGTTTTATGCTTACAGAAAAGAGTTCCTTCTCAGACTGAAAAAAGGAGAGGTTAAAATAATCAGCAAACCTGCAGAACTGAATTTGGCACATTTTGTCGTTGATATTGACATTACTTTAACACAGCACATATTTATTGGGCATATACTGTATTTAATATTTAATACAACTCATTAAGATTGGAGCTCACACGTATTGTAATTTAATTCCTTAGTATTCATTAAAAAACCTTTATTTTATTTTACCTACCTTTTTGTATTTGTATTTGTTGCTGATAAGTTTGTGGGCGGAGTGGAGAAAAGTGAGGTTGGGAAAGGGTGGCATGCATTATAACACGCACATTTTTTTTAAATCAATTAACAGTTATAATAATGTCTAATGTTTGTTGAGCAATCACTGTGCTGGACACTCCTACAAGCTTTACAAATATTTACTCAGTCTTTTTATTTTATTGTGACTCGAGCGAGAGTTTAAAGAGCAAACTGGCTTTCATTCAGCCGTTTGCCAACGTTTTTATTTATGACATTAATTGTAGCCACGATATAACGGCATTCTTTCCACTTCCTCCCTGTCTCATTTTTATTAACCCTTCTACTTCATTCTGTC